GGTACAGGAGGTTAACAACACGCCAAGCAGGTAAGAGTTAAAGCTCACAATAATGGTTGGGGAAAAAAGTGTCTTTTATAAAAAGCCTTAACAAAATAAGCTTTGAAATTCATCAGCAGTGCTTTTTAATGGGTGAGGTTTCCAAAGGTCCAAAGGAGACACTTCAGTCTCACCAAGCTTCAACAGCAGGTGGACACATTTCCCCGAGCTGTTTTGAAGCATCGTGCAAATTTCTCCACATCTCAGTTTCGAAAGGTTTTGAGGGCAGGAGCATGTCAGTGTTCAGCTTTGAGTAATGCTGTGTGCAAACCAATGCTGGAAATACTCAGCAAAGGGGCTGCAGGTGTCACACCACGTCTGAGCGATGGGCGAGGAGCCACATGCAGACCCACGTGAGGCTGCAGCCCTTTACGGGTTTGCCCCCAAGCCCCTTCCTCAGTATTTTTATCATCCATATTTGAGAAAATGCTACAGCGTGCAAGTGTGGAGGCTGCAATGTGGTTATGACCTGGGGATACATTTCCCTACCCTCTCGCATGGGGTCCTGGGCTACCAGGATCATGAGAGCTGTGGGGCCTCCACAGGGGTTCACCCCCAGCCCACCCCACATCTGGGGCCAGGGGAGCATAGGGTCTAATTAAAGCAAGGCTGCCTGCTCTGGGATGCCTCCCAGCTCATCACTGGCATTTCTGTGATTGACAAACAGACAAAAATGTATTTATTCAAGGATTATCTATATTGAAAACCAGACGTGGGATTTTGTCTTTGTAAACAGTGCAGTAATATCTGCTGTTTGAACAAAAGGAAGGGTATGCTTTCCTTCCATTTAAAGCACCAAAACTCCCATATTTAAGTGAAAAGACATTTGGTTTTATTGATCCTGCTTGCTGAAGATTTGGGGTTTTTAAAAAAGATCTGTGATTAAGGGAGCAGTGGGTTGATTTTTGCTTTATTGGAAGGGTTATTACAAAGCTCACAGCATAGAAGTTATTAGAGAGATGCATGCCCTTGAAAACAGCACTAAAAATCTTGCACAATTAGGAAAATGCAGAATGATCCAGCATATTTCCTCATAGCGAGAAAAGTCACTTTGATATATTGAGGACCCAAAATGTAACACTGCATTGCTCTGAATAATAATTTTATTTTGAAAAGCCACATTTGAAGAGAGCACTTTGTTACAGATGGGAACACAGCTACTTTCATGAACCTAAATTAGACTACAGAGAAATAGCTTCTTCAAAAATGAACACCCTTATTGA